GAAGAAAAACAGAGAGGTGAGTTTTGAAACAGGGCAGTAGCTCAGTGCTTCTGCTGTGGTCCAAACCTGGAAGCCTCGCTTTGATTACAAGAATAACCTCCCCTTGAAAGATATCCCAGTGGTTTTTCCAAACTTATAAGTGTGCAAGTGTCACACACACACAAATTTGTACAGACCTGGTGGATTCGTTCAACCTGACCACGGATGCTGTAATCCTCTGGACCGGTGCGACTTGTCCCCTCGTGTCCCGGCATGTCCACACACACCACATGTTGGTTTCTAGGGAGGAACTGGAGGAGAAAGCAAACACACCAGAGGCTCACTTACATACACTTCATGACAGAAAGGCTGGAGAATCAACAGTCAAATCTGACAAAATCTGCTTCAACAGCTATAGATTTTTGCCCAAAGGTAAGATTTTACAAAGGGGACAGCTTCCACGTCTCCACGCACAATTCACCAACCCTGTGTTTCCAGATTTACACACAGCTGAGCTGACGTTCCTTTTTTAGCAATGAAAACGCCACTGTCACAAACATGTACATCTGATGTTTTGATTTATTTTCGTGTAAAAACCTTGACAACAGGTAGCCACATATCCTTGGTGGCAGAGAAGCCGTGGAGCAGCAGCAGTGATGGTGTTGCGCCTCCTGGTGCCCCGCGTGTGGAATAACAGAAGTGGTAATTCCCACTGTGAGAGAAGCGGACAACCAATCCGAGCCTGCGGCGCCAATACCTGCAGAGATTTACAGGTGAGCCGTTATAAACTCTCATGTTCTGGATGTTCAGTGAACCCTGAGGATTAAACATGAGGCGATCCATCCACTAACATTATGAAATAAATCATGTGATTGTGTAGTCTTTAAAAACAAGATCACTGTTTCTGAATGTTCTCTGACTCTGATCATCACTTAATTTTAGATTCAGTTCAACATCCTGCAGCTGCACATGGTTTCATATGAAAAGGGTCATTATGCATTTAAAACTGGTGTGAGATTACATTAATGGGAAAATCCCCCCACAAAATAAAAGCACACTAGAAAATTAAAGGTTTATCATGAAAAGATGATGTCCTGTAGAAATCATTTTATAACTGCTGTTATGAAAATAAGAGGGGTGCTCTGCCACTTATTTCCACAGTTTATTCATGTGATTGTTTAATAATTTATTGTGCAACACTTTGGATATTCATATCAACCACAAATGCAGCTTCATTACTCAACATAAACATAATGAGGTGAATTTCTGCTACCCTTACAATGGTCAGGGTTAAAAAATAAAAACCAAACAAAATAAAAACAGAGATCAGGAACGGTCCCTGAAATCTGGGATCAAAATGATCTCGACAGATAAAAATAATCTTCTACACAGTCACAGATTCACTGTTAATTCTTTGTACATGCTTTTCTTCTTCTATTACATGTCAGTGAGTCAGCACTTTGTGTGTGTGTGTGTGTGTGTGTGTGTGTGTGTGTGTGTGTGTGTGTGTAAGACAGAGTGAAGCAACATCAGTAATCCAGTAATCAGCCGGCATGTAGTTTTTTTTCACAGCTTAGTCTAAAGTTCAGAAGGAAAGGTCACTGCTTTGGCTCTTTCACAATAAAAGCATTTTTGAAGCTGTATTGGAACACAGGAACTACATTATTTTCATTCAAATGTAACGCGTGTCCAGTTTGTCTGTTTGTTGCTGCTGAAGACTTTATCTGGTGGGTTTACTAACTTTGAAGAAAATTGCTTGGAGTAACATTTATTAGATTTATTTTCATAAAAAATAAGAAAAATGGAAAACCACTGTACAAAAGTGCAAAAGTCCTGAGCCACCAAGTCTTTTTCCTGTTTCCTTATCTTAAGAATGGCTTCTTGGCAGCCACCCTTCACTGACACCATTTCTAATGAAACTTCAGTGAACAGTAAAGGGATCAGCCGAAGGGTCAGATGACTCTTATGGTCCTTTGTCAGGTCTTTGCTGGATTTTCCTATTTCTTAAGGACATGACTCAGATACTGCTACGGTTTATCAGCTGTAATTTTTTAGACCTGTAATTTCTTTATTTTTCCCTCATGAAAAGCAGCCAATGTCCAAAGAAAAGGTTTGGAAGACCTCCAGAAGGCTGGACACCTACTGATGATGACCACTTAAAAAAAATCACAACAAAGTCTGGCTGCTTGGAAGCAAAACATGAGAAATAAGGAATGACTCGAGACTTTTGCAGAGTACTGTAGGTGGAAAATCTTTTCCATTACTTCTGCTATAATCCAGTGGTGTGCCTAAACCAAACAGATACAAGTCTAACCCGCCTGTTTGTTCTCTTTGTGTATGTCCTCTCTGTGCCTTTACCAGTTGTACGCCTTGAGGAGCGCTCCAGGCCAGAACAGGAAGGAGGTGACGAAAGCGAGCACGGGCACAACCAGGACACCTCCTGCCAGCATTATCATTTTGGCCACATTCAGCTCCATCGTTGCAGACTCCTTTAAAAAAAAAAAAAAACAGATCACAAACTGCACTCTCTGCTCAGCAACTGTAGATAATCAAGCAGAACCTGAATAATTTATTAGTCCCAGACGAAACTGTGTCCTCACAGTTGCTCCAAGACAGTAAGAAGAGTAACTATTAGTGTTATACTGTATAATAATAATAGATACAGACGCTGAGTACTGCATCCAGAGTACTGAAGTGACAAAAGTCCAGTTAAATCACTCAGTCTTGCCTCAGTCAATGATACATATAGCTGTAAACAAACATATAGTCAGGGAAATGTGCTGGCTTATTTATGCCTTCACTCCAAAAAAAGACAAAGCCTAACTTAAGCTGATAAATAAAAAATATTCCCATAGTTTTCCAACCTTATGGCATCACTTTTTTTTACTTTTAGTGTAAAAGATCCATTTTTCCACTGCAGAAAGCGAAGGTGGGAAAAGATAACACACACAAACTGGTTTAACGAACTTTTTGGTTCTTGTTGTTTGAACCTGAGCTGAGCTGAGCTGAGCTGAACCTAAAGCTGTGGCGGTATCAGCATGCATTTTTATAGTTAGACTTTAAGCTACAGACTTTACTCCAGATGTCTCCCCTGACACAATCCAGCCCATTTATCCAAGTTTAAGATGAGGACTATGGCTAGACTTGCTCATGAGGGTGTGTTTGTATCTCTTTCTGGTATCGATTGGGGGCTCTCTCACACAAAAGGTGAATGTGTTAACCGCAATTATTTCTTATATTTAAGGAGTACTGGTACAAAAACAGTGTTGGCCTCTGTGGATGATTTCCTCTGTACTGATGTGGTGATTTATTTTCTTAAATAAACCAGTAAGGCTTAAGGTTTGGGGAGTGGCTGCTTTGACTGACAGGTTTCAGCTGATCACTGTCAGCTAAGGCTTCCCCAACGTTTTTGTCCCTTTTTAAAGCATTTTAAGTATAATTACATTGCTTATAATAATAAAAGCTTGTAATAAATGAAATTCAACTCACTAAAAATATAATACAAACTTCTTGTAGGTTCCCTTTAAATTAATTTTAATTATACTTAAATGCTTTGAAAAAAACTGGATGAAAGAGAGCAGGCAGAGCTGAGTGTAAAATATGAACCCAAAACTCAGTAATAGGAGTTGCCTGCTCAACCCAGTGAGCTAAACCACCATCTTAGCTCTAATTTCTTTCTTTCTTTCTTTCTTTCTTTCTTTCTTTCTTTCTTTCTTATTTCTTAGCTCTAATTATCAGGCACCTGCGTCCGTGGCTTCCACAAAATATGTCATAAATGCAGCATTGAACCAGGCTTGTTGATAATGAGCACACAAGGTCAAATATGGCAACTTATGGTAACAGCAAATCGACACAGCAGTTGTAATAGTTAATGTCGAGGTATTGCTTCCGTCGTTCATATACAGTCTATGATTTTGACATGAAATCGCAATTAAGGCAAGTGCCACAAAATCAACAGGATACAACAGGATTACCCAACCCACTGAACAACGTCCAGTGCTGCAAGCCCAACCCAGAAAGACATTGAACCTTTGAAGCAGCTGCAAAGTTCACAGTTTCCGGAGAAAGCACCTGTAGGGGGGATATGCTTAAAAAATAAACTACTTCTACTCGTAACATACCGTAGTAATACACAGTAATCGGGATTTGGAGGTTTGCTTTGATGTAGAAATCAGACCAAGTAAAAAAGTGCATTTGTTAGGCGTTTTTTTTAAAAAAGGTTAGAACCGGAAAATGAGTAAAACAAGTTTACATTGAGAAAAAAATGCGGAAGTTTCCTTTAACCGTAACGGTCACAGGCTTAAAGAGACAAACTTCTCTTTTTGAATATTTAGTTCACTGACGGTTTGATGGTAGAACAGCAGATACAAAGGTTACATTAAAAACTCGTGTCCTTTTAACGTGCTGAAAACGTCACATCGGACATAACGCGGACACCTCAGGCTGAGTACTATAGCGGTTTATCTACACCTGCAGGGTCAGCGGCGCCCTACCTGTCAGGGTCCTCTTCGAGCTGTCAGTGCCGGCTGTCCTCCATTCAGTCCGCTGCTCTTCCTCCTCTTTTACCCAAATTACATAACAGCCTTTCATCCGCACTTAAAGGGAAACTGCTGAAGAAAAATGCTGTGCTGCATTCAGGTTCCGTCAGAAACAGAGGATGTGTGATGTGTGCGAGCACGTCCACAAGAGGGCGCCAACTTCTACAGGCAGCTCTTAGAGAACAGCACTGATGCTCCAGAATTTCTGTGGAAGTTAAAGCAATTTATATATTTATTTTCTTCAAATGAATGTTTCAGTTGATTTCTGTCCAGTGTTTTGTGGCTCGGAGGGCTGGCAGATCCCCAGTTTAAGACTGGGAGGAGACAAAAAGCCTCGGAGGGTTGCACAAGAAAGATAATTGGCTAAAAATCTGTGACCAACCAAATGTGCTGATGATCCTGCTGTGGTGAGAAAGGAGCAGCTGAAAAAAAAGCTTTTTTAAATAGTGGTTTGAACTGATTGGAGCTCAACTGGAAAAACACAATGTCAGGATTTAGCAACATATCTGTCACTGCTTGTGTGTAATGCTAGAAAACTTTCCCCTTCTTTCTTCTTTTGATCATCCAAGGGGTCTTGAACTTTTGCCGTTTTTTTTTTTTTTGGCCAAAAACCTCATTTAAAGGCTGCCAGTCTTCACGCATTTGCTAAATTATACACTGAAAACCACTTTATAATAAAAGGAAAGAATATACTTAGGATCTATTTAAGAGGGTTTTAACAGTATGACAGTTGCTAATAATAATGAATTATAATAAAGCAGGAAGTAGTCTGTAATATTGTTTGAAATGTGAAAATAGCTGGAAAAGAGGGGAAAAGTTATAAACTTGTGATTATTTACAATAAAAAGACCTGCTGTGGTGATGACATCGACTTCTGAGCCGCAGAGTCTTCAAGCCAGTTATTATCATCATTTGAACTTTGTATTAAGAAACACTTAACCTGCATTAACTATTTTTGAACCAATCAGCACACAAACACCAGCACTTTCAGTCAGTCATTTAAGTTTGTTGGTTACTGTGAGTGTGAAAAGATCATCAACTTTCTGAAGGAACAACTGTTACATTCCTAACAAACTCAAGGAAGCTTTCAATGCTCAACAAACTGATTTTCAGCCATATTAGGGATAATCATGTTGTATAATCTGTGTAATCAGAGGCTGATATTACGCAAAGATGAGCTTTTCTCCCTGCTTACAATGCACACTATTAAAGGCCATAAAACTCTGCAGATCAAATAAATTGTCTCACTTTGGGGCTAAAAATATCCCAATCTGTTTTTTCTTTCATGGTTCAGGAAGCGGCTGTCAGACGGTCAGCTGGGTGATGTAACTGCCCGGGAACGTCAGTCCAGAAACCACAGGAATACCTCACATTCCTGCAGGTAGTAGGTCAGCACACACACAGACACACACACACACACACACACACACACATATTAGTGGAGTTTTGTAATCCTCAGTGATTCTAATTTTTCTGCCTGCAGCTGGTTTATTTGAGAAAACTACCTGATTTGTTCTTGTGAAATTTTCATTTGTTATGTTTCATTTTTGATGATTAATCAATGTCTGTGTGTCACAGATTAAAATATAGTTTTAGTACAATGAAGAATGTTAAATATTTGCTGTTGTAACAAGCGGTCACTGCCAGTCAGTGAAGAATAAGATGCTTTTAACAAATTGCTTGTGTAAACATGCATCTGACCTTTATTCAGCCAGGGGGAAAAAGACTCCGGAGAAAAAAAATCTATTTACAACAGTGTCCTGGGCAAGAAAGATGCAGTAATGTAACGGTAATCTAATTACCGTTTTTGCAATAGTAATCCCTTACTTTACTCGTTACTTGAAAAAAGTAATTGGATTACAGTAACACGTTACAAGTAACGCGGGATTGTTGAGTTTACCTCGTCAGTGGATTATTGTTGAAAAACCTTGCTTTGGAAAGGATTGCCTAACTAACTCGTTGTGTTTGCCTTTACTAGGAATTGGGAATGGAGTGTGTTTCACAGGAGTGGAGCCACAGTTTGGAATTGGAGTTTGGAGATTGCTGTGTCCTGTGTTTGGGTCTCCTCCTTACCTAAAACCTGACAGAACTAACCAGCCAGTGATGGACCTCGAGCCCATGAGATATTGCTACAGGTGAACTTAGTGGAACGCCATGGAAAGATGTTACAACACATCACCAAAGAGTAGAGTGTACTCCTCCAGGTGGTAACGGAACTAAAGGTCATGTTGGTAACACCACCATCCTCACTATAATCGACTGGTCTTCCAAGGCCGCCCATTTTGTGGCATTGCCTGGATTGCCTACTGCCTTGGGAACCGCCAAACAACTCACCCAACATCTTTTCCGACTGCATGGCGTTCCTCAGGACATCGTCTCAGACAGGGGTCTACAATTCACTTTCCAGTTGTGGAAGGAGTTTTGTTCTGAACTGGGGGGCCAAATCAGTTTGTCCTCTGATTTCCACCCCCAGACTAACAGCCAAGTGGAGAGGGCAAATCAGGAGCTGGAAGCCGTCCTTCGTTGTGTTGCCTTCTCTAACCAGTCCAAGTGAAGTGATCAGCTGCCATGGGTCGAATACAGCCAGCACAACTGCAGGTCGAACTCCAGCACATCGTCAGCCACTGCAGTTTTAGCTTTTGAAGCATCCTTAGCGTATCAACCCCCTCTCCTTTCCATCATGGAGGGTTAGTTGGCTGTGCCTTCCATTCAGTACCATGTACATCGCTCCTGCTGGTTGTAGCGGACCGCAAGGGCAGTTCTCCTCAAGACCATGGAGCGAAATAAGTGGCTGGACGATCACCATCGTGTGTCGGCGGCGGCCTACCAAAGCAGACAAAAAGTTTGGCTCTCCTCCAGGTAAATTCCTTTGAGAACTGAGTCTAAGAAACTAGCTCCCTGGTTCCTTGGTCCCTTTGAAATCCAATCCATTCATAACCCAGTATCTGTCCTATTAACCATTCCTCGCAACATGAAGGCTGACAAAGTGTTCCATGTTTCTCAAGTGAAACCGGTTTGGACCAGCCTGTTGAGTTGTTTTAGTCCACTTGTTGTTCAGGGGAGTGATAGAATATGCTTCATTTTTTAAATCCAACTGCTAGGAAGAAGCACACTGCTTTTGAAATTTAATAACCACAATACACAACAGGACACTTATTCATTTATTTTATTTAACTGAAAACAGCATTAAACATAGTGGGCTTTCACTTTTTCATCATATCTTTATAACTTTATTTACTTGATAAAGCATAATTTTTTATATATATATAAATCTTTGTTGCTCATTTATCCAGAGAAAGATTAACATCTTATTTTTCTGCATAATTCAGAGGTGTAATGACTAACTGAGTTGGGCCAACAGCTTCCCTCAGCTTCCAGTTTTTGCACCATGCTAGGCTAAACACATTAGCTATTACAATAGTACTACTACTACTACTACTACTACTACTACTACTATTGGAATCAGTGAGAGGAATTGGTATTTAGTATTGACAGTACTGTGTATTATTTATATGCTACATCAACTCAAGCAATACTGCTAGCAGTTAAATGATAAAATACATAAAGGCAAAATGTTAGCTAGTGCTACTCTGCTAGCTGGTTATAGCCTACATGAAAAAAGAAAAACAAATCCCAAAAAAGAGAAATTTTGGATTTGGGTTTTATCTGTAAACTACTGTATGTCAGAGAGATTTTTCTGATATTTTTTTGACTTTAATGTCACAAAATCCTATTTCCCGCTCATTGTTTTTAACCTTGAATGGACTTAAAATGCAGTTGCAGAATTTAACACATGGCCAACTAACTTTGCAGCTTTATTGACCTCCAGTAGTGTCCTCTCAGTTTAAACTAAAATTGTCACAAAAAATGTTTACATTTATGAAGCTTTCAAAATATATACGAAAAAGAGGGACTAATTATCAGGAACAGCATAAAGCAGCATTTAGCAGCAGCAGAAACTTAAATTTATAAGAGGTTAAATGATTACTGAGTCTGCAGTTTCTTGAAATCAAACACATTTAACACAACATGGAGAAAGAATAAAAATAACAAAAAAATTACATATATACTATTAGCAGATATTTAAATCAATATTAAAAGTGTGGTTATGAAAAAGTTATTTAACTAAAATCTGCTATAGATTTTTTTTTTAATCCAGCTGTTT